GTAAGAAGAATAATAGGTAAGAAGAAACGGAGCAATTTCAATAGGGACCTCCAGCGGTCGCTGGCTCGGTCCCTAATAATGTAGAGTATATGTACAGCAGGGTCATAGTTTCAGTCGGAGCGCTGATGGCGGCAGTATTTGACGATTTGTTTGTATGGAGGACTGAAGTCTACAGGATGTGTAGCAGTGTGATGACATGCAGATCATCTCTCTCCCCCAGACAGCAGGAAGGGAGCACAGCGCCCTCTGCAGGCCGAGAGAAACCAGACACCTCCCAGACAACAAGACCGAGGAGGGGATCCCTCCCTGTCTCCATGGTAACATTTGTGTGTGTGTGTGTGTGTGCGTGTGTGTGTGTGTGTGTGTTTCCAGCTCCTCAGGGCGACTCGTTAATCTCTGCAGGCAACTGTGATGTGACACGTTTCCTCACAACCACCTGCAGAGATGATCCAGTCGCTCTGCTGATCGATAATCAATAACAGACTCACTGCTGGATCAGGAAGCTGTAACAGTGGTGGGAAGCAGTGAAGGACATTTACTTAAGCACTGGGCTTAAAGTTTGTTGTTGTTGTTGTTGTTTAGCTTGTGTTTTTGTACAGTAACCAGGAAGGTCCGGCCCTCCAGAAACACATTGATTGACAGGTGAATCTCATGATATTATTGGTGGAAATTGGTTTGTTCATGCTGACTTAAGCACTCATCGCGTTTTGTATTCCAATAAGAAAACATATTGTATTTATAAATGAATTACAAAGAAACTGATTTTTTATACATTTTTAATTTCATCTGTTGAACTTTAATTGTCTTTACTTCTCCTCCATTACATGTATCTGATAACTGTACTCACTTTACAGATTCAGATTATTAATAATTAATAACATATTTAAAGTAAATACTACCTTTGTCAGATTAAACTATAATTAGAAATAGACCATTTTACATAATGAGTTCTTTTACGTTTTATACTTTAAGTATATTTTGATGCTCATACCCTACTACTTGTACTTTTACTTTTGTTCTTGTGTATCTACACATAAAGTACACAGAGTATTTCTTCAACCACTGGGTAACAGTGGCTGGTCAGTGAATGCTCTTTTACTAGACAGAAAAGAATGAAAAGACTTGATGTTCGTGTCTTGTCCTGATGAGCTCGATATACTCGATATAAAAAGGTATCACAGTCTGTGTCAGAGGAAATCCAGAGGTTGGTGTGTTTACAGGAAACAGCTGGGATCCAGTTTAATCTCAGCTGGCAACTGTGAGCTTTGAGCATCTCACAGACCCGGGTGAGGTTCACCTGAATGCAGCACCATCACTTCCTACCAGAGGGCCAGGACAGCCTCAAGGGGGCGCCGTGGGAACAAAAAGAAAAGTATAAAACAGAAGGAGTAGCGCAGTAGTTTCTATTCAAATATCATATATATCTATATATATTTGTCAGTTTAAAAATAAGGCAAGCTGCTGGGGACATGGGTAAACATTTGAGTGAACTTTTGTTTTTGTTTACAACTTTTCAGATGTATTTTGTCTTTCACAGTTTTGAGGTTAGTGACTAAAATCTTTTATTCAAGGAAACGTTCATTTAAGACATTAAGTACATTTTATTTTTATACATGAAGAAAACATTTTGATTTCTTTCTGGGCTGCAAATAACAATCATCATTTTCACTGTTGATTAATCTGTGGATTATCAACAGACGTCAGGTAACTACGCTGCTAGATAAAGGCAGTAAATCCAACACACTGGACCTTTAAGTAACTCTTTTATGTTTGGCAGGTGTAATATTGTGTGTCTCTGTGTGTTCATGTACAGGTAGAACTGCATATGCAGCTGTGCAGCGACAGACAGGTTTCCTGATGTTGATGATACTGCATCAGGAACTGATTGGAGAGCGATGAGAGGCCATCAGTTCCTGATGCACTGCCTTCAGCATTGAAAGACGCTCCGCACTGTGAACACTTGAAGGACTCCATCAAAAACTAGCCTGGTGACGTTATATGCATGGTGATTCTCTGTTGTTTCATTTAGTGCCATTATCCAGTCAGCAGGATAAACAATATAGCATTTTGGACTCTAATGTTAGCATTTAGCTCAAAGAACAGTCTCACGTAGCTGCTAGACTAGGGGTGTAAAGATTTATTGATACGAGTCAGAAACCTGTTTTAATGTTATAGATGCGACTACATCGGTACATGGACCTCTGGATCGACCTAAATGTACCATGAACCCGTCGATAGTACGATTATAAAGTTATGAATGCTAATGATGCTACTACAGCTAGCACAATAACAGTAACACACGAGATATTTAACACTTTCCAGCCACAATGGAGCTTCAACTGGGTGAGGTCTAAAGTCATCACTGCAGAAAGTCTTTGTTGTTTGTGGAAGCAGGAAACAATGACCCCGCCCTAAAGCATACCCTG